GAAATATATTTCGAGCGAAATGCAAGGAATAATTCTAACATAAATTCATCGAATGAATAAGTTAACAAGATTTTGAACTTAGGTTATTTATCAACTGCATGAAAAAGCATTCAAAATATAAAAAGGGAGGAATACCTTGAGTATAAACATATTACATATACATGGAAACAAAAACTAATTTATATTGCTCGACATTATTGACGTGGGAACAATGACATTACTCATGAACGTCAACGTCGTGATAATGAAAGAACTTTCGACATTAAAGAAATTAAGATTATGTGTGAATTTATAAAACACGTTTTGGGGACCAACTTAGATTTCGAGACCAATGATTGAGGAGGAAGTAAGTGATGCTTCAACCCACTTGGTAATGTGAAGGATTTCACCTCGAGTCTCTGCAGCCACTCGTTCTTGACGATTAGCACCGACCCAATGACCCATTAGAGAATTTAATTTTCCCTCTAAACTTGCATATATAGATTCATATAGCACCCCGTGAATATATATTTTAAAAATCCTAGGAACTCCCAACCATTTTGGTGTTCATTTTTATTCACAAATCACAAACTTTTTTAATATCAGTATGGAGTACCATTTATTTACGTTTATCTCAATTCATGGTAATGTACTTTCAATAAAGGAGTTTTTACATGGCTAAAGAGTAAGGATAGGACGTCCTCTCAAGTCAGATCCTCCCGAAATTAATATCTAATTTAAAATTTTATTTATAATACAAATTAAATTTAAAGTGATCAAAATCTAAATTAGATAATAATTTTAGGACCATCACGAAATGAATGTCCAATTTCAAGGGCGATGCAGAATAGCGGCTCATAGAAGGCTCCGGCACATACAACAACCGAAATTTTAAATTTTTTTATTATAAGTTTACTATACTCATCTACAAAACATATCAAAAAAATGTGTTTTTTCATGTAAGATTCAATCTTATAGATATTTACTTTGTTGAGTAAGCATTAATAATAAAAAAAAATTCACGAGATATAAACAAGCAACCGCAAGTAAAAGTTTATAGGTCATTTTTCTAGTTTGGATATTTAGATTTAAATTAAATTGTGATAAAAGTGAGAATTTAAACACGACAATCATTTTGAACTTGCATATTTTATGACTTTTCCAACGAAAACATTTCTTTGGATGAGTTATGAGAGTACCGTCCGCAGGGCATGTAGTAACTCGATGATCCTTAACTTCACTGTAATATTGAAGGGACGATTTATCTGCCATAATGTAATTGTATAGCGGCTTCATTTAGGCGTTATGTCACCCCTAACAATAAGAGGAGAAAGAAAAAGCTGAATTGTTTTGAACAATCTAACTTCATACCATGTTTTATGAAAATGACAAGATTGTTCTTAATAGTCATTCTAAACCATATAAAGTCAAGAAGATTCGATTGGTGATATTTTTATCATTCGTTTCGGATACATCAACTTAATGATTTTTATGGTTTGGATGAATTCTAATAACACGTTTATATCCTCATCTTTTAGTGGACCTGTGTGGTTTTGGCAGTTTGCGTTATATGAGACCAACATGAAAAACGTTCTGAGTAGTAGTGGCAAAAACTTGAAGGGAATCCTAACGATCTTGCAGGCTTTGGAATTCCGATTAAGAGTGTTAAACTTTCAAAATTTCTTTTAATAGCGTTAACTTGTTAAGTATGCTTTTGAATTACAATTTCAACATTAAGTAATTCGTGTTTTATATTTCCTGTGTGGATGAATAAAAGGAAACCTTTTTTTACCTTCATTTTACACATTTGTGCGAAATACTACTGTTAAATAGTGGTGCGGCGGCATGACTAGAATGGTGGTCGTGCATCATGTGTTACGGAAGCATTCGATTCTTCAGAATATTTAATGATCACAAATATTTTCAAAAATTTTACTTAAAAAAAATTCAACACAAATTTCTTCTTGAAATGAATCAAAACGTTCAAGAATCAATGGGAAAATAAGATTTTACTTTTCTTTTGATTATAATTGTTGATGTAACGAATTGGTGGATTGTCCCACATCAGTATCTCGGAACAATAGAGAGCAGTTAATAAAGTAAATTCGTCCCAACATTTATTAGTTTGAGTTTTTAGATTTAGGTAAGTTTCCTACTTACGTATTGGGTTCGATATTGGAACTCTCTTGATTTTATCTTTCGGGCTGAAATTCTTGACAATAATTTTACATTTTTTTTATAAAAAAAAAAATCATTCTCTTTAGCTTTAGAGTCATATATCTAAGAAAAAGTGAGTTCACTTTAGAATATTCCTGCTCGCATGTTGTTGGATTCGTAAAATCCAAAATACAACCTAAGCTGCTGATGTATGATGTACAAATTTGTTCTCATCGTTACAGTTTCAATCTATGGAAGTGGTAATTTTTTCATGTGTTTTTTTTTTCAAAATCTGATTTTATTAAATTCTCATAAAATTACCGAATTTAGTGGTATGTTTTTTAAGAAAATACAATGAAATTTATCATCAAAAACTACTTTATTAAAAGAGAGTAAAATAGGAATCAATATATATTTGATACATTAAAATATTTTTACGCCATTGGAAGGAATTATGAAAGTTTTACACTCTTACTTAGCATTTCAAAATCTGCTACGCCAAGAGATATTCCCGAAACTTGCAAACATTTTTTTTTTTATTTAAATGCGAATGCATAACATTTTCAATTGCAAGCAATAAAATTGTCTGGACTAAAATAGTCGAAAATTAAACAAGAGCGGACCATCTTTATTACAGAACTCAAATCATCATGTAATGAAGCCAAATGGCTCCATTTTATTCCAAAAAAACACAGAGAAGGATGCACCACACACATTGAAACAAGAGTAACTTCAAGCAAAGCCTCTCCTCTTAGTGGGTCTTTCAAATGTGTATTCAGACCAATACTCTCCGTTGTTTGCGATCGGCCTTTTGGCGCCGGCCGGAATCTGCTGCTTATCACCGCCGGCTTTGCTGAGGAAATTCATGAACCACAGAGCAGACCATTTCGGGTACCTTGCGTATCCGTTCCTGTAATCGACGTAAATCGTGCCGTAGCGAACGGTATAGCCCTCTTGCCATTCGTAATTGTCGATGAATGACCAGATGAAATAGCCCTGAACATTCACTTTCTCGCTGCAATAAACAATGCACGAAAAATAAGAAATAAAAAAATTAGCCCTTAATTTGGAATTGTGTTTTGTGAATAATTCGTGTTGAAAACCCGAAGAATGAACCCGAAAAATGTAACAGAAACTACAACTGGAGGGCATACTCCATGGCTTGTTTCACATATTTCAGATGATCATGATGGTATTGGATCCTTTTCACATCCCTGCGAGCTTCTGCTATTGTAAGCTTAGGATCATTCACCTCATCATAACCTACAAAACAGAGGACAACAATGTGTATAATGTCTGTGAATAATACTGATTCAAAAAGACAACGAAATCTTTCAATTTGAATACCATTTTCTGTGATGTAGACGACTGGATTGTTGTAACGAGCCTTTATGTATCTGAGGAGATGCAACATCCCAAGCGGAAAAACTCGCAACCATTCAGAACCGGCCTAAAAATATCAGACATTTAAAATCATGAGAACACAATTGAAGCTTGATTTTTTTTCTTTTTTGAATTTCACAAATCGATTTTGTTTCATACCTGTTCCCCGATTTCCTTACCATCAGCACCATTGACTGTGTGAATGGAGAAAATGGATATAAAAAAAGGTAAAAATTCAGGTTAGCATCTTGAATTGAAAGAACAAAAAAAATTTGGCTGATCGAGTTCGTTACCTAGAGTTTTAACCATTGCATCAGTGTTGTAAGAAACAACACTGATGGGTTCATCTGATATATCGGTTGCGTATCGACCGGTGTAATAGTTCAATCCGAGGAAATCAAAGGATCCTCTTAGCATTTGGCTCTCGTCCTTGGTGAATGTTGGAAGCCGGTCTTGTACAATTTCTCTCATCCGGTCTGGATAGTGACCAAATGTGATTGGTGACATGTACCTACACATATGTCAAAATTGCAAAGGTAAATATAAAACAGAACACTTAATATACAGCTTTTTAAGTAAAAATGTTTGTTTGAAACCAGAAATTAATCAAAAGAAGATTAGTAGAAGGTAAGAGTATACCATCCAAACATGAAGTCTGCCTGCCGGTCGACGGCTTCTCGGTCTTCTGGAGTGTTGTTCAATGGCTCCCACCATTGAGATACAAGAGTAATCCCAATCTTCCCTCCCTGACACTATACAAGAATATCATCGTTTCATTAGCAATTCCGGCCAAATTAATATACCAAAATTTCACGTCCTTTGTTTTTTGTCAATGATGTGAAACTACTAACCTTAAAATTCTCGCGGTATAACTTAACGGCCGCAGCATGAGCAAGGAGCAAATTGTGTGTCACAATGTAAGGCTCGGTGCCCGGATCTCCGTTTTCGTCGGCGTCGTCGTAATGCCGGCGGTGACATTTATGTTTAGGAACCGGGTCTTTCACGTGTTCTGATTCATCAACCGATTTTACGACTCCCCTGCCCGGAGCCGTGCCCTGACCGGTGTAACCCATAACTGCAAAAGTCCATGGTTCGTTCAGAGTCATCCAGTTCTTCACACGGTCCCCGAATTCCCAGAAGCAAAGGTCAGCAAATTCGCGGAAATCATCCCTTTTAATTCAAGATCAGAAAACATTGTTCAGACCAAAATTAATTTCTTATGGTAGCTAAATTCTGCCTTCAAATATCATCATCATATAAATTGGCTACAATGAACTACTTACACAATTTTCCGATCCAAGAAACCACCATATTCACTCTCCAAAGCTTGTGGAACATCCCAGTGGAAAAGGGTGGCATAAGGTTCAATTCCTGTAATTTTAATTTGTAGTTTTGCACATGAGTGATGAATCCAGTCAAGCTTTAAATTTTAGGGGGAAAATGAGTGAAAACAAGATACCACAATTGTGCAAAAATTTTACCATTGGCTAAAAGCTCGTCAATGAGATTGTTATAGTACTCGATTCCTTTCTTGTTAATTCCAGCACTGAGTCTTCCACCTACACAATATTTTTTAACCAAATTCAATCATTTTATCTATCTTGTTAAAGGAATTTGAGATAATCAATTTTTCTATCAAGGGATTTCTGCTTTTCAGATTATCAAAAATTGCAGTTTTATTTTACCAGGCAACACTCGAGGCCATGAAATTGAGAATCTGTAGGCATCAAGTCCCATTTTCTTCATAATCTTTACATCTTCCTGAACAATTTGCAGAACAGCGGAAAAGCCAAAGAAAAACAGAGAAAATGGTTCAGATCAGTGAATGAATATAAGCACATTTAACCAATCAATCATCCACATGATTTCATAGATTTAGCAGCACAAGAAGAAAAACCAGACCTTGTAGCGATGATACTGATCAACAGCAACATTAGCATTACTGCCATCTTTCACATTCTTGGGCTCTTGAACAGTAAAAGTGTCCCATAAACTTGGTGCTCGACCATCTTCAGCTGCTGCACCTTCAACCTAATTCATCCAAACACACAAATAAATTGAACCCAAAAGTTAAAAATCAAACGAAAATCTCAAATTTTGTGCTTCCAAAGCAAAAATAGTAAAAATTAGGGAGGACCTGGAAAGCAGCAGTAGCAGCTCCAAAGATGAAGTCCTCAGGAAAGTCAGTTCGGCTGATCTCAGGGGCGACAATGGCGCTTGAAGCCATGAATTGATTCTTTTTTGGGTTTGATGATTTCCTTAATTTTTTTTTCGGATTTTCTACTCTGTGGAGTGAAAGGTCCAAATGTTGGTGTTTATTTGTGGGTAAGCTTGAAAGGGACTTATATAAGGGAAATCGCATGCAAATTTCTTACAAATTTATTTTTTAAGGGTTAACAAATTCGTTTTTGGTTTGACCAGATACCATTTATAGCTCGCTTTCATTATTTTGTCGCACTACATTATTCCTTGTGTTTTTAAATTTTAATTTAAGGTCTTCACTTGTAGTTGAACCCTTTCCTTTCAGAAATATTGGAATTCTGCGACTTCAGTTGGCAATTCATTAGTCCATCACTCCATCCTAGTCGATTTTCTTTCAAAAATGAAGTGTAGTGTCATTATCATCATCCAGTGAGGATGTTAATCACTATTTTTATCGACCACAAATAAACACTCCATAAATATGTGAAGAAGATATTATCACTATTGTCTTAAAAAAAATATTCACATTAAGTAAAAATTTTGTACTAAAAACAATACAACTCTGAAAATTTAATATGAACTTTTTTTTTAGACCGAAAGAATATTAGTTATTGTTTTGAGTTTAAGTCCATCCCATTTATATGATTTTGTACGGTTGAAAATTAACCAATATTACTACCACCAACGCACCAAGTCACTACCGCCGTCAATGGCTGGTGATGACGACTGCACTAAGGTGGTAACTTGTACTCCGTCAATTTTATGAAAAATAGCTCAATTTATAATTTATAATGTGAATTATTTTTATGAGATGACAGTTAACAAATAATGGTTCAGCTAAACATATTTTTGAATTCATTTTTTTAAGAAATATTCCTGACCACGGTCTTTCATCAAACTACACACAAAACCACTATATCCGATGGGATTTGCCCTGCGGTTTTTCAGTTCAATAATTGTACTTGGAAGGCACAAAAGACATTCATACTGACCATCCCAATTGATGAAGGTTTCCGAGTTCACTAAAATAAGAACGAGAAGGTAGTGTCATGTGATTTAATTTTTTTGGTATATTATGTGTCTGGATTCATTATTCCCACTAATTCAGATTCGAGCCGAATAAGTTCTTTTTAGGAGATAAAACTCTCCTAACAAATATTTTAATCACTGTGGTACACCCATGTCCGAGTTTGAACTCGAATTATAGTTAAACCGACACACTACCTTTACCACTCAGACCAAGTGCTCGTTGGTATGTCATTTGATTTAATGATTCTGTTAATCATGATATATTGAATCCCAATTTCTATCCACATAGAAGAGACGAAATCAAACAATTGTTTACTCGAATCTCTTAAACTCAACTTTCGAAATCAAACTGTGCTATTATTCATATAATTTTGAAATTCACTTTTTATATTTTATTCAGAAATTATTTTACTTCATTCATTTTTAACCATCACCACCATCGAACCATCCATTATTATCACATTTGCAGGACCACCACCTTCCCCTTCCAAACCATCTCGCACCAATTGGGTGGTTCTCAGATTCAGGCCCAATTGGCTCGTATCGGTTGACAGTGCCTGGTTGGAAATTCTATTATTTAAAAATATCATCTATAAGGTTTCTTAACTTTCATTTTATTAAATATTATTTAAATTACTTTCATTATTTAGATAGTAGTATAATATTGAGACTTGAATCCTTCATGGAATAAACGTAACTTTTTACTGACGGTATCATCCAGTTGATAGTATGACAAAACTCTGTGCTGGACTTTGGACACGTGAAAATTTACTATGAAAAGGATTAAATGTGAAACACCTGTCCCTATGATTATGGACCACATCATAATCACCACTCATCGGTCATCACTATTGAAAAGCAAAGCAGACAACGTTGTAGTATCGGGCAGCAAGACCCACTTATCCCGGTCGCCATCTCAATGATTTTTTTGCCTTTCGATTTCAAGCGTCCTTTTTTCATCATTATGGACTAATATAACATTTCTTTCATTTTAAAAAAATAATCTACATTATAATTTTGGTTATACTTCCTGAACTATAATGTGCGTTGTTTTTGTTAAACGGAAAGAATATACAGTTAACTAAAACACTATAACATTTTTTCGACGAATTTTCATTAAGCGTCATTCTCTTACAAATTATTAATCATTCACTAGATTACAGAACTCGTTTGGATTTTTATTTAAACCGTTTAATGTATGATAATGTGAAATTTTCTTTAAACTACCTCTGCAGAAGAGACTTGACATTCTACCTTTCAAGCATTACAATTAATGCCATTAATTTGTTCAATTGCGTTTAACATGATTATTTAATTAATTTTTCAGCTTGGCTTTATGAATATATGATCGAAAAATATTTATTGCCAAAAGATCATTTCGATGGTTTTGGTTGCTATTGAACCGCGAGCATTTTCAGATTTCAGTTAATCACACAATATTATGAAGACAATCTTGATGGTCATTGCCTCGTTGACTTGCGGACTGTCTTTCAAAATATGGCGTCCGATGGGATTCAAATGCATTATTTACAATGTTTGAATTTCCGTACACTGAATAGATTTGTTCCCACTAAGTCTTTAGAGTGTCTATAGATTTTCAATGCCACGTCTCCGGTCCTTATTATAAGTCATTTTGATTTCTTCTAAATTTTAATGTGATTCTAATTGAAAATATAATTTTAAAAATATGTTTTCATATTTATTATGTTATCTTAATTATTATAAAATATTATTAAAGTTTTATTTTCGATTGAAATCATATACTAAATAAAACTTAGAATAAATCAAAATGTCATATAATAAGGATAGGAGAGAGTAACTTTCTATAGGATTATATCTATTCAAAGACAATCTTTCTTTGTTAATGGATAGGTTATAAGTACTGTACATTTATCCCCCTTCATCATATTAAAAAAATTGGGAGGGTATATCGGTTAGGTTCCATCCCACTTCCACACAAAAAAGGACAATTTTATTTATTATTATTATTTTTTTTTTTTCATATTGCAGGGTGTCCATCATCGTAAATAGTGACTAATCTCCCTTACTCATGGTAAGCATGGGTGGGAAAGTTGACCAAAAGATTTAATGTGCTCCAATCCCCATGGCGAGGTTCGAACATTCGACCTATAATTAAGGGTGGAAGAGTTCTTACCACTTTATTATAACCCATTTGGTTGAAAAGGACAATTTTATGATTTAGGTAAAAACAAAAGAAAAAATAAAAAATCACTGTATCAGTCAATAATGACTAAATTACCGATTTTTCAAAAGTAAATATCACCTTCTTTCTTCTTCTTTTTTTTTTTTAATGAACTACAAGTTAATTTTAAACGGCGTATATTAAAATAATCAGTTTAATTCCTATTCGAGTTGAGTATGTCTTATGTAATTTCAACATGACAATGCAAAGATCTAAGCTAGTGGCAAAACAAGCCTCGATCATCCAGAAGGGTTAGTGTACATTGAATTGACATTTTATTTATTCATCTTTTTAAGGATTTTTTTGGCCTGCCGCAAGAACAAGACCCCCTTCCCCCTTCAGAGTATGTAGCTAGTTTAGTCAAAAAATGAAATAAAATAAAATAAAAAGAAAAAGAAAGAAAGTATGTTACTAGTTTGAACTCTAATAATTAAATTGGTCAGTTTTGAAGATTCATACATACTTACATATAAACCTATGATTTTACCTTAAAATCAAATGTTAACGAAGGGAGTAATTCTTTAAACTTAAATGGTAGTCAATTTGACTTACAATTTTCATATTTCATTGTTTAAGCAGTCAATATCGTTTTTTACAAGATTTGTGTTTGACATAAATTGAACCCCTCTCGTTTTTGTCTTTGTTTCTCTATGCTCTTTCGGGTTTTAGAATAGAACGTGTATATTGTCCCGTTGCAATAATGTCAACTTGTCAAGGGAATTATGTAGATTCTAAAAAAGATTTTCGTGTCATCATATCTTTGGCGTCTTCATATTACCCTCAAAATTAGAATCAAAACGTAAATCCGCCATAATTTTAAGATGGAAAAGATCCAGAAAAAGAAGTAAACTGCATTTTATTAGCTTCAATAACTCAACTAATGTGATTATCTTTTTTCAGTAAAAAGAACACAGATTATAAGTAAAACAAATATTACAAAGTAGCTAGTAAATACTAAATACATCGCCTACTTTTAGTTTTTACTCACTTTCCTACCATTTAATAGTTAATTTTGCACACTGATTAGTTTATCAAAACAGACATTTAAAATATGACAGAATAAGTACTTTCTCTATAATAATTTCCATCACCCCCCTTCTTTTATTTAATACTTCTTCCGTCCCAAAAAATAGTCTATATTGTGTTTTGAGTTTTGTATTATTATTTAGACAAATTTGAAAACTTAAAGTGAACTATTTTTTTTGAACGGAGATGGCTCAATATTATAAACACTCAAATTATCGCATGGATAGGATATATTAGGAAAGAAAATATCGTTAGTATCGGAATATATTCCAGGCGTATACATCTCTTTATTCGCATAGATGGGTTAATGATCTCCTAACTACAACCTACAAAAGATAGTGTTTGTGAGATAGGGCCGTGGTGATCGGTGATTATCACAATTTCTCATTATCACTCTATTCTCATGAAAAGGGTTGACAGCCACCTACCATACACCATACATTTTATGGTAGCATAAAATGCAGCCAGCACAAAACCGGTATACTACAATAAACCTCTTCTTCATTTTTCTTTTTTAATTTTCTTTTCTCCTTCAAGTACAATAAATTAATAAAGCTTTTTACAAAAGGTAGTAATCATATTTAATGATTATGTTGACTGGATGAAGAAGAATCGTGCATGACATGCCTACCTTCACAGCATATTCACGTGATGAAAAGCGAAATTGAATATATATATATATATTCTATATTATATACATCTTGAAAAATAAATAGGACAAATTTTATGTGGATTATAATAAACATGCAGCTTACCACCGCTACTGTTAACGCTCTATCTTGGTGGTGTCAATTATTATCGGTACGGCCTTTCTACATCAAATTATTGGTACGGCCAACAACTAGCTCCTTTTTAAATGGAGGGAGGATAAAATAAAATATACTCATGTCTATAAAATAAGTCTATATTAAATATTAAGATCTGTACTGAATATATATGGAAGTTAGCCTTTGAGCTATCAGAAATTTCAGCAATTATTCAACGCTGATCTTACTCTATAACTCACATTTATAAAGAGACTAGATTTGTTCTCGTCGCGCTAATACGCGCGATTATAATGCGACCAGTTTGAGTCATATCAATATGAATTCACCTCAAATAGTCGCGTTGTCTTATGGTTTAATGAAATTCTAATAATAATTACTATGTGATGCCAAAAACACCATTTATCCGTACCGGTATGTGTTTCCTGGATGACAACATTGCCACCATCGGAAATCCAACCAAAGTATGATCACCATTTGTTTGTTAGATGCCAGATCTACACCACCGCCGCCATCGGGAAACCGAAAAAAAAATTAGGATCAGTTCTTCTTCCTTTCGAGGGATT